GGCTCGCCGGGGGCAGACACAACCGAGCCGAGCCGAGCCGAGCGGAGCGTAGCCCGCTTCCTCCGCCGCTGCTGCTGTTGCGGCGCGGCGCGCGCCTCCCCGCCCCCGCCTGCATCCCGCCCGCTGCCTGGGGGAGGACCGAGGAAGACCCGCGGGCTTCGGAGCCAAGCTCGAGAGTGTTTGGTGTCTGCCCCCGGCAAGCCCTGGGAAGACTAAAGCTCCCCCGCTGGGTCGGGAGGCGGCCGCGCCAGCTGAGACGGAGTCTCCCCCTCGCTCGCCTCATTCTACCCGACTAATGCAAGCACAGGTCCGCTAGCAGGTAGCCCTTCTGTCCGCCCCGTGCTAAGCGCTTTGCAAACAGCTCGCTCCAGTTTGCAGAGGTGCCTGCCGCTACTACCCCCAGTGTACAATTGGGGAAACAAGGCGGACGAGTCAAGTGACTTGTCCAAGCTCGCACAACTAGCGAGTATTTGAAGCCAGTTGTGAACGTAGGTCTTCCTCTGTATATCCGATCTAAATGCCCAACCCTCCACGAAAGACCTCGGAGGCCCGAGACTTTTATTTATTTATTTTGTAGAACATAGTAAGTGTGTAATGAATGCTTTTTGATGGACGCGTCCTCCTCCCAGACTTTGTACGGGCAGTGTACCCCCAAGCCTGGCTCCAGCAGAGCCCCTATGCTCGTGTCTGCTTCTTAGCATCCCTGCCTTTCTTCAGAGCTCACCATGGGGGGCCACTTTCTGCATAAGGCCTTTCCTAAGTGCCTCTTCTCCTTAGGTAGAAAGACCTTGTTTGGTGTTTGTTTTTGAGGGGCCCACGGGTTTAAGGAGCCTAGACACCCTCTGCAGGGGCATTGGTGACCTAGGTCCTGCCCTTAAGGAGAGTATCCTTTGACTTGCCCACAGTCACACGGACTTGAACGCTGGTCTTCCCGACTTTGGCCAAGGCCAGCTCTCTATCCACAGTGTATAAGCTGGTGCACTAACCATTACCCTTTTGCAGTGCCCACCACATAGAAGACACTTTGAGTCTGTTGATTGTTATTATATCTACCTTATTAGGTTGTTTTCAGACTCAAATGAGATGTCACTTTTTTCAAAAGCTTCAATCAGTTACTGCTGCAGATGAGGACAGAGACTTGAAGTGATTTGCCCGGTAGTGAGTGGTGGAGGGGAAATTTGGAGTCATTTTGCCCTGACTCCACCCTAAGCACATTCCCTCCACTCTTCCACACTTGCCTCTGAGTTGCTTGAACTTGTCACTTCAGGGTCTTAACTTTCCCACATGTGTCTTCTTTTTATTGCTCAGTCGCGACCCCATTTGGGGTTTTCTTGTCAAAGATCAATACTGGAGTGATTTGCCATTTTCTTGTCCAGCTGCTTTTACAGATGAGGAAACTGAGGCAAATGGGGTGAAGTGACTTGCCCAGGGTCACACAGCTAGTTAGTGTCTGAGGCCACATTTGAACTCAGGAAGATGAGTTCCGGACTCCAGGCCCAGCACTCTATCCACTTCTGCCCGCAGTACCCCATATGTGTCTTATATAAACACAAATGTAAATACCTTCTCCCATCCCTTAAAAATGGAAGCTCCTTGAGGGAAGGAATGATTTTGGCTTTGTCTCAGTAGTTCCAGCAATTCGTCAGTCAGTCAGTCAGTAAACATTTATTAAGCATCTACTGTGTACCTGGCAGTTAGGACACAAAGATCAGTTTGTGCCCTCGGGAGCTCAAAGTGTAATGGGGGAGAGAGCTTGTAAACAATTGTACAAACAAGATATAGGCATAAAGGACAAATTGGAGGTAATTAACTGAGACAGCACTCTAATTAAGGGGGATCAGGAAAGGCTTCCTGTAGAAGGTAGGATTTTAACGGAGACTTGAAAGAAGCCAGGGAAGTCTAGAGGCTCGTAAGCAGAGATGAGAAGGAGGGAGAAAATTCGACAGCAGTGAAAATGCCCAGAGTTGGGAAAATGGGAGTGTCTCGTTCTGGGAGGCCGGTATACCTTGATTGCAGAGTGAGGTGACAAAGACCTGCACCAGGGTGGTGACAGTGTCAGAGGAGGGGGGGGAGAGTGTGTTTGAGAGATGGTACGAAGATAAAATCAACAGGCTTGGGCTCATTCATTATGGAGAGGTGTGAGATAGTGAGGAGTTGAGAATGACATTTAGGTTCCCAGCCTAGGTAATAGAGAGCTTAGGAATCGGGGGAGGGTTTGGAAGGGAGATAATGAGTTCAATTTTGGATGTGTTAAATTTAAGATGTGTGTAAGGCATGGGGCAGTGTCACAAAAACCTAGAGAGAAGAAAGATGGCAGAAGGCTGACGATTGAGAAAAGGCTGGTATAATTGGCAATTCATTGGTAACTTTGGAAAGGAATTTTTCAGTTGAATGAATGGGGAAAACTTAACTGCAGAAAGTTAAGAAGCAAATGGGAAGAAAGAAAGGGGAGGCAGAGATATAGGACAGTAGCTAGTGAGGAAACATAAGATGAAGTGAGAGTTTGGGAGGGATGATGGGTAGGTTTGTAAACAGTGGGGAAGTAACCATCAGAAAGGGAGAGACATTGGCCTCAGACACATAACACTTACTAGCTGTGAGACCCTGGGCAAGTCACTTAACCCTGGATTGCTTCACCAAAAAGCCAAAAAAAAAAAAAAGGGAGAGGCTGAATATAAATGAGAGAGTGGGGATGATAGAGGGACAGTCTGCTGAAGAAAAGGATAGAATGGGATCACTTGTGCAGTTAGGGGGATTTGCCTTGGCACCCTCTTCATGTGAGACAGGGGCGATGGAGGAGAGAGTTGTGGAAGGCAACCTAGTGATTAGAGGGTGAGGAGGAGGAGGAGTGGCCTTGGTTTTTTTCAGTGACCAATGAGGCAATGTTCTCAGCTGAGAGGATGGCAGAGTAGAAGGAACTCAACTGTGTACAAGGAACTTCAAGCTGTGCCGTGCTTGAAGGATTTCAGAGGAATTCCTGGGTTTAGGCTTTATTACCTATGTGGTAACCCACAAAGGATGATAATTAACTGGGCCTTTGTTTTTTCATCTGTAAAATGGGGGTAATAATAGTACTTAGCTTCCAGAGCTACAGTGAAGAGAGTACTTTGTAAACCCCAAAGTGTTGTATAAATGTGAACTGATCCTCTCCCGTTTTGTTTAGGAGCCTGATTTCATCAAAGCAAGGGGCTCCAAGTATAGACAGACACTTCCCCCACTGACTGAAGTATAGACACTCCCACCCCCACCCCCACTGATTAATTTCTGTTCAGTTTGATTCTACAAGCATATATTAAGCAACTAGGGAGGCAAAATTATAAGTGGAAAGAAGATTGGTTTTTGAGTTGGAGGATCCAATTTCAAATTCCTTCTTTGACCACTTACTCCCTGTGTGAATTTGGGCAATGAATTTCACTTCATCTGAGTGCCTCAGTTTCCACATCAATAAAATGAGGAAGTTGGACCGAATGACCTCTAAAGGTCCTAGCAACTTGATGCCACACTCCTACCCACTATAAATGATCACTTAGGTCTTAAAGAGTTTCTTAGGCCCCTGAGAAGTCAAATTGATTTGTCCAAGGTCGCATAGCCAGCATATTGTAAAGGCTGAATTGGAACCTAGGTTTTCCTGCCTCTAAGGCCCATCTTTGTGTCCCCTCACTATGAAGGATTTTTTTTAGTTGACCCCCATTCATTTAAGCCTTACAGGATTTATTATAAAATAAAGAAAAGTGAGGAAAAGAAGAAGACCCCCCCCTTCTTAGTGTAGAGGGTGGCTCTGCCTTTCCAGCACCAGGGTTTTTGGTTGGATTTCTCCCCCTCCGGCTGAAATCAGAAAAGCTTCCTTTGGCTTTATTTTTAGAAAGTTGGTCAGCCTTTTCATTTCCTGATTTTTTTTTTTTTTTTTTGCATGTGGCCATTTGGCGCTAGGCACGAATCAGTGATAACAAAATCTCAACGTTAATTTGTTAAGAGCCTTGCTTCTTTGCCGCCCTATTCATTTGCTCACGTAGGTGAAACAGGTTGGTGAAAACCACGGCTTCTATTAAAGGGAGCTTCTTTTCATAAATATTTCAATTCAATTCAGCTAGCATGAATGAAGCAACTCATATGAAAAGCTCTTCACAACCTGGCCCCTCCAGTCCCCCTTCAAAACTCAGCCCCAGCATTACCTCCTTCTGGGGACCTTTCCTGATTTCCCCCAACCTTCCCATGCAAAGTTACCTGGGCCTGTTTTTGAATGTGGTTTTGTATGTGTGCCATGTGCCTAATTGTGAACATTTTGTCTTCTCCCAGCCTTCAAATGTAA